CATCATCGACAGAGGTTCGGTCATTTTTAAAACGTGAATGCCACACCAAAGTTTGCGGACTCCCCAAATGCTTGCTTTAGGATTTCATAGGTTTCCGTAGCCGTTTTGGCGAGTCTTTGGCAAAATTTGATGCACACGCCATTCCGAAATCGCAGGAGGGTCGGTGTAATGCACTACCAAAACGCCCGTAACTAAGAAACAAATGCTAATTCGATGATGCCGGCTGGCACACTGATTCACTATGAATGTAGGCCGCATCCCCTAAAGGCAGAAGCTCGTACTACATCCGGTTCGCCCTCTATTGACAGCCTTGAAACTTTCCGATCGCACTTCGTAAGACAGGTAGGATGATAATCCAACTGTCTAATTATTATATAAGTGGATTAATCCTACAAACAAAACATTCCACTAAACTTTGTCAATCTATGCCACACACACTCTGAACTGCTGAGAGCATCGTTAAATAAACCACAAATCTGCAAACCCTTTCGTCGCGTTCTTGCATCGTAATGTTAAACCATAATTATTCATTCATTTTAGGCCTACTCAACTCACGTGCTGTCCATATTCAAAATGTTATAAATCCAAACGCAGTTATCTTTCGTCTTACAGAGCAGACACGTTTTTGAATAAATTAAAATGATTTTATCAAAAAAATTAAAAGTATAAGTTGTATTCGTGAGCTCGAAGTTTCAGAACAATGTCTTTACGAGAAATTCCTCTTTGTCTGTCATCCCAGACAAAGGCCTACGAACACACTTTCCAGATGGTCACTCACACGCCACTTGACAGCTCAGGGTAAGTAACCTCTTTACTTGAACAACAAACAGCGACATTAGTAAACCTTGAACAAACAAACTCAGCAGAAATCCACATTGTTGACTTTCGACACTCTAAAATAATCTACTACAAAAATTTGTGATTAGTCGTTGTCTTCAAGAAATGACGTCATCAGTAATGCCACCTTATATTTGTTTATTCGGCATTATTGTGGAACACAACAATGCCGAAGGAGGGGTTGGTTACGTATTAAACAAATGACCAACCCCTCGAAGAGGTGTTGGTCAGTTGTTTTAACCACCATTCGGGGGGCTTAGTTTAGTTTCTTACTCAAGGGTTAAAACACTTGAATGAGACACTAAACTAACCCTTCCGAAGGGGTTGCGTTTTAAAAACTTGACCACCGAATGGGAGTTAATTTTGCGTGTTACTTAAGATTTCAAAATGCAACCAACCCCCTAGAAGGGGGGTTGGTCAATTGTTTTAACCCTCAATTTGGGGGGTTTAGTTTAGTTTCTTATACAAGATTGGTTGCGTTTTACAAACTTGACCAACGCCCCCTAGGAGCTCCGAAAGGAGCGCCCTGCACTAGTTTTTAAAAAATCGTCTTCCTTCCAAACAAACTTTGCAACGAAGGTTATATAAATTTAAACACATTGTTGACAATATCAGGACCAATGAGAGAAATAATGTAAATCCCTTTTTAAAATGGGGTTAAACAATGTTCCCCGACTTCATTGTCTCTATTAGAATCCGCTAATATACTCTTCTTGATCATCTGCCAAGAACGTATATGAACAGGTCCCAGTCCCAGAAAAGGATGGAAGGATCCTGTTCATATGGACCTGTCGTCAGACAGAACACTGAAAATAAAATAAATAATAAATAGCTATGCATATGCGTAGGCACACATCATGACACAAAGTGCGTGTCCCGCACCTCTGTTACGTATCGCGTGCTCCTAAGTCATTAACTGACAGGGTAAAAATGTCTTCTGACTAATCCATTCAAAGGGATTGTAAATTATATTTCGAGTAATTTGATAGGTGATAATTAAAATTAGTATATAATGATTCTATTACAGTAGATTCCCGATTATCCGAGTTAGTTGGGAAATATATTCTCTGGATAATCCGTAAAAATTAAAGAAAAACATGCAAATGCAACAAATACGAAAATAAATATACGTATTAGCTTTCGTCTTATCTGTCTTGTGGTAACTCTTGTAATAGGAAACAGAGCTAAAAATCAACATAAGGACAAGGAAAATTGCTCAAGGCCTACAGATGGATGCAATATCTTCACAAGTACCAATTTTTCGAACAATAAGACATGTTCTATAACATTGACAAAGTTCGATTTGAGCTTCGTACAAAGTACGCGCTATATTTGACCGATAAAACCAAAATATTATCCCCAATGAAACAACATTCGCTCGACATTTATAAACAACTCCACGAAACGGAGTCTTCCTTAAAAATGTAATGATTAATTAGTAAGCAAGTCAATAAATATCCAGCCCTTCATAGAACTCAATCACCTTCACAGTAAAAACTGTATTGTTACGAAAAATTATACCAAGCCTCTGAACAGACAAAACACATTTGTTTACATGATATAAAAAAGTTTGTCATTGTTGAGCCAAAACATCAAACATGTTTTTGCCGACTGTCTTATTTTTTTATGTGCACAAAATAAATGTTGATTGTTAGTAAGTGTTATACTGCATTGTTGCTAGGATACAGAGCAGTAACAATTGTTACGAGGTATACAAATATTTGTGAGAAGCTCAGTTTTGGTAAGTAGCCTACAAAAAGTTAAAATGTATACATGTTTCTAATATATTTGTTGATATGACATTTAATACTTTCTGTGAAGAGTATGTTTTCTTCCATTGATATAAATTTGACGCTTGCTTTACTATAGTTTTCATACTATATATTATTATATTGTGTGCAATGTTAGAAGCCAGACAAGATTTTATAGGGTCTAATATTTCTTTGATATTATTTTTACAGTTTGTGAATGCACGTTTATTCTTGAGATCTCTGCATCATGCGCCTATCGAGAACTAGACAAAAAATTCTTAAGATTGTGGCTGGATTTTTCTATGGCGCTTTATTGGGAATTGGTAGGTGAAACAACACGATGCTGTCTCCATTATAATAATTTCTCCCCAGGAAGCCAATTATTTATTCTAAACGTTATTTCAACATAGGACTAGTCAGATTCTGTCAATAGCTGAAGTATGTTGGCCATGATAATTTAGTTTCATATCTAGTGAAAAGTGAATATGCTGGAACAATACTATGAACTGAATAAATTTAGAAGACATAATAGAATCCTGAATAAAAACAGTGAAAAATACCATTTACAATATTTTCCTTAAATTTGGCGTATATAAGAAGCTAGTCAACCTAATTAAAACGCGTATAAGTGAAACTTCTAGAAAAAATCGTCTACGTAAACATTTGCCTGAAACATGAAAACGCTCTATCGCCACTGCTTTTCAATTTTTAATTAGAATATGCCATCAGAAAACTCCAAGAAAATTCGGGCGGTTTGGAATTGAATGTGACACACCAGCTTTTGGTCTATGCTGATTTTTTATCTGCTGGGCGATAATACAAATACTATAAAAGCGAACACAGAAACACAGTTAACACAAAAAATATCATGTCTGTGTTCCCGATGAATGTTGAGAATAAGAATATCAGTCCGTCAGTGAGCTGTTTTATCGATTGTTCCACAGAAACTAACACAGCCTCCTTTTGCAGCTTTCTACGAACTTATCCTCGTCGACCTCCACTTCCCACCACATATAAGCTTCAGCCTCGGAGGAGTCCTCTGTCTGCTTCTAGGCGTAGGCAATGCCATTTCTATCCAAGTGAGTAGAATTTTGCTTCAACAGACTCGTACATTCAGTTATTTTTTTGTGATCTTAATACAGTTTTGCCGCACTTCGAAGAACTATATTAAAATGACAGAAATAAAACTTTTACTCGGAGATGTGTAATTAAAATCTACCTAATCGCAATCCATCCCAGAATCCGGTTCACGTCCTCCCATTTCAGTTCTTTAACACCTTAAATCCTAGTGGTAACTATATGTACCACCTACACTAAAACTAAATAATTCTGCGTTTGGCCTACAACGTGTATTTGACCGTTTCGTAACATTTTTAGAGTAAAGAGCTATAATTTAAAGTCTTAAAGTTTGTGACAAAGATGCGTTGTTGAAGCAAATTGTTTTCTGGACATTATCCATCGTCCAAGATCAAATAAAATCAATAAAAACCACGACGTTTGGGGGTAAAACCTACTCTCGATCATTTTTATCACTTCGCTAATACATATTATTAACAGTTCTGGTCTAAGATATTCATTAACTTCTGATCTATATTCTGTAACCGGCGGCTGAACTGAGGAAACGCATTTCTGACGTGTACATTCTTCCCATCCGGCTAATAACGTGTCTCGGTGTCGCAGGTCCGCTGTATGTCGGTGCTGGCAGTGACCACGTTCTGTGGACGAACCGGTCGTCGGGTCCTGAGGGCCATCATCATCGCTTATGTTGTGGCAGGTCCGGTACAGAACATCATGAACAACGGGCATGAAATCGTTCGTACGTTCTCGTGTTCTGCGTCTTTGAATTACAACCTGACGAAAACTCGTTTGGACTTGATGTTTCGACCTTTAGCTGAAGGACTTCTCAACTTAAGGGTAAGAAGTCAATATGTCCAGCCACTTTAGATAATATTGTCTAATATTAAACTCAAATAATGAAATTCGGAGAGGCTAAAAACAGGATATAACATTCTTTGGAATTGTACAACTTCTGATCGCCTCAAACGGCTTGGCAATAAATCTACCCACGTAGTTCATCTGCCGACATTATCTGTAGCTCAAATCACACAGCGTCGGATGATAGGATTATTATGAAAATCGAATTGAAAAGTATATGACAGTTGACGGTCGTGACATAATTTAAGGCACTATCCCGACATCTACCTGGAGGATAGCCATTCAACCGGGGACTTTCCGAATACAAAACAGGAGTTCAAACCACACGGATTCGAGTTTCGGTGAAAACAGAGATGTTAGAAGACAAATGAGATGGTGGGATGAAACACAGAATGGAGACGGGATGATCATATAGGATCCAAACCATAAGACTGTGATTTGGCTGATGATATTTGAGGCTGCATTATTTGCAGATTCCATATAACGCAGGACGTACAAAAATATAGTGGATATTTAATTCTTAGGGATGGACATGAGAGGACGGTGACAAGCCCTGTTATAAGGAAGTGATATTTAGGTAGGCTGATAAAACCAACGAATTTACTTGCGGTAATTGGCCTTGGCGCAGATCCGAAACTGGCAAGTCAATAATCACCACCCATCTAAACCCGCTGGTATGTGACTAAGAACCCTGCCCTCCACGTAGCAGAATCCTTCTGGAAAAAGTATCAGTTGCTCAGTTGGTCATGAAACTTTATTGCACCGGAATATTTACAACCGCTTTAATAAGAATTGCCTTTGGGCCAGATTTTGAGTCAGTTTAATCTAGTCCACGCCATACACCCTACTTCTACACCATCTACTACTAGATCTCTCAAGTGGTTTCATCCCTTCATGTATTCCGGCTAAAATTTTATATGCATTTCTCATCTGTATGAGATACCAACACTGTAAGCCAGTATATTGCATATTTATTGTACGCGGACAAGCAATGCCAGCACCGTGTTCCGTATTTTGGGTCTAGGAAACTTCACGAGAATACGTCTATCACAAAGAACCACCTTCAAATTATGAGAAATACACATCTCATTGTCTGATCGATTCACGTCGAACTGTGGCAGGCTGAGTGTGATTCTGAGGCACAGCTGTCTATCCATTTAACCTGCGTTTTAACTGTTATATAGTATTTTGATAAATTATTCGTTTTGTAGGCCGATGTTAACGAGGTGAGGGACACTGTTAAGTCCGTGAAAGGAGTAATTCTTCCTTTGGTAAAGGAAATTGAGGGAGAAGAGGAGATGATAAATGTCAGAGAACAAAACGATTACATCGATGAGTTACGGGTAAGTCTATCACGAACAAATTCCTACAATACATACAGGTAACGGTATCACGAAAATATACTCAGATTACATAAGGTAAAGCGATCATTAACACGATGCAACTCTAAAACGTTCCAACGATGATTAGGTTGGGTTCAATATTATTTTTTAGAGCTAAATATATCGTTTAGTATATTAAAATGGTCCCCCCGGCTTCAGGTGATAAAACCTTCTCTGTTGGGTCCCCTAATCCCAGTCTCTAGATAAGTCTAAGTGAGCTGATAGGAGTTGAATTAGCCACCAAACCAAGTACTGTCCGCAGATGATAAGATATTGAAATAAAATTATAGCATTTTATCTGAAGACTTAGAACTAGAAATCTTCTGATGTAGGCCGGATTTCCCTTTATGCCAGTCACTCCCTCACTCCTCCCTGATGTAGCACGCACATCAAACGTCCCTTTTCAAGAATCATTATCGTTTACTGGTAAGTCCAATGAAATTAATTTGAGTGTAATGTCGTACAGGAAAACTCAAGTCGGGAGAAGGAGACAAAGAAGAGATACGAAAGAGAAGTTAATGAGCCTGATACAACTGACTACGAGAAGAAGTACAAGGAACGATTAAGAAAGGAATGTGAAGGTGAGTGATTTCGTATTTTACATTACCACTGACAGAGAATGTACTTGAGTCTGGAAATTCAAAGTCTACTCATACCGAAGCAAAAGTAAGTCAATATGGAATTGATGCTGTTGGGCAGATATAGTTGTAAACTTACAATTCCTATGAGTCTCTATATTTTAATTAAAAGGTTTCGAAGATATCTATTTGAAGAAAAAAAAACTTAATGTTAAGCTGCCGTCACTTACATCTCTTCATCGTACTAACAATTTCATTTCTCCACGTCTATAAATTTCTGAGAATACGATAAAGGAACTTATAAATTCATGTACGTGAACAGGGTACGTGTTATTCTCAGACCACTGTTATTGTCACAGGAATAATTAACAGCAGCGTTGAGAAGTGTCGGAAGTCATTTTCAGACACTTACGATAAGTGCTACAACGCAGTGTCGTGGGCAGCAGCGTGGCTTCTCTGTTGGCCTATGAAGGTTACGTTCGTATGTGACATTGTGGGAGGTAAGTAGTGCGTGTTACACGGCATTGTAAATACTGTCTTACGAAGGAAACGTATTGAAAGCGGTACAGCACCAAACTGATAGTGTCAATACTAGATCGGTAGAAACCGTACTGTGGAAGAAATATCGTAAGTTATGAAGATTTCTGTCTTCTGGGTTGTTGCGCTGTGTAGTCTGGTCGATGCCAAGAAGACAGGAATCTTCATATCGCTGTGAAAACCTCAAATCATATATCGTAAGTTATGTTTTGTGGAAAATAAAATGCTTTCGAACCGGTTCTTTGGAAAAAAAATTATTGATGCAAGAGAAACACGCGGATAGAACTGAATGACATTCGGATAAGGGCGTCGAAAATCGCTGCCAAGTCTGCAGTACTCCTGCTTCGTACTGTGACGTAACATCGTAAACTACGCCATTTACTTCATCCTTATCAAACATGAATATTTTCTCCAACACTCCGTTAACAGATATTTCTAATATACGTTTTTCTCTCATAGAAACATGTTCCACTCGAATTAAAGGGTCCATTTTATTAAGAAGCAACATTTATTCAATTGCTTTACTCCACTGAGTGTAAAAATACGTTTTCCAGGATTCAAAACATTTTACGATTTCTGAACACAGATTTGCACGGACTATGAACTCAGGTCCCTCGACAGTCTCTAATTTAAAACTTCGTATCTGAATCACGCCCACATAAATCAAAGCACAGGCTTACTAAATTCTATCCTGTTAATTGAAAGGGAGGAATATTTATTTTATTTATTTCTGGATGATTATTAACGAACGATAATTTGGAAAGGAAATGAAAGGATTCGACATTTTCCTGGAGGGGCTGAAGAAAACCACGAAAATCCTCAGTCACAATAGCCAGTCTCCGCACCCAAATTTGAACCCGAGATCCTCCACCACGAAGCAGGGGTGCTAACCATTCAACTGCATTTGGTAAAAGTGAAATGTAACCTTCTCCGTATTCGAACCACGTACTATAAAAAACCTTTCAAGTTGACATTATTTACATGAAATTTATAAACAATGAAGACATTCTCATCTAAAGTAAGAGTCTGTGAATAATAATGTTAATTTAAAATTATCAAAATAAATAAATTTGTTTCTTTGTTTCTTTGTAGCCATGGGTGGAAAAAAGCTCTGTGACGCAAGCGACGTTGTGGAACCTGGCTTCGGAGAACAATACGCGCTCCTGAAACGATCAAGTACCACACTAGATAAGGGATTCAAAGGGGTCGTTCTTCAGTATAAGATCCCACATATAACAAATCCGGTAAGCACGCTGGTAACATTGTGTCCTATTGTAAAAGCATGTCCTGATGCATCTTACAGACACCACATTGCAGTTTCTCTTAAAAAGCTGTCAACCGCTTAGTCAGAACAGAGAATTACCCATTCACGTAAACTGTTTGTCATCTTTAATCAGCATTTTAATAGAAACAGTCTCCATCGTCCGTCATATTGCCTCTTTCTGAAGAAGTCAGAACTAAAACGTAAATGAAGTGGCACTTTTTCTTCAACAGCTTTAAACCGGAAGTACTGCACACAAGATCAAAATTTTGAGTATGTATGTTCGCCTATAGCTCGACAATGGATATACCAAATTTATTCCAAACTTAGTATGCCTATTTTTTTGGAACCAGGAAAAGATGAAAACTCCGACAAGAATGTCCTGGGTTTGCGTCCCAATGAGGGTGGTTTCTGTAGCTTCGAAATTGAACAAGACAAAATAATTTGTTTCGGCGGAAGCAAAGGCCACACTCCCAAAACTGCCCTGGACGCTTAAAGATCATAAGATAAGTACCATAGAAGAATAGCGTCTAGAACAATGTCGTTTGTTTCTGAGGGAAATTATAGGTCACAAACACAAATTTGTCTTGGACAGTCCCGGTAAATATGTTGGGTTTAAGGATAATGATTTTCCCTGTAATATTCAACAACACGAACCGAATAATGAGGCTTTCGGGCAACAGAGATGATAACAAACGTGGATTTCCCCGCAGAAACACGTTATCAAAAGAAACAGGTTGGTCTAGCAATTTATAGTGCCAATTGACAGAGTAACACAAAAAAATGCCACAATCCTGTTTTCCAGGAACGTAATAATAAAACTTAACAGCGTCAGTTAGCCTTTAGCCTAAATATTAGAAAGAGGAAAGAGGAAATGCTCATGTTACAGCCGAACGTGCAGCAAGCAGCTGACGCGGCGAAAGCAGTGGTTATGGAATTCGAGAGGAAGAAAGTCATTGTTGAATCCATACTGGCGATAATAAACGGGTTTCTGGCGTTCATTTTCGTGAGGATCATATTTGGGTAAGTCTGTATACGAAATCACCTACTACATAACAAAGGAAACATTGCGTGGGGCATAAATAATTTCAATTTAGTGTTCAATATCATAATGCTTTTCATGATCATGGGTTTCAAAATATTACATGTTCAGAATATGGCTGTCTTCTGGGTTTTTACTGCCTTTATCATCGGGGCGATGATGGAGGCAGCAAGGACCTCTGAAACCCTTCGGTTGAGCCTACGTATCTGACGCCCAAGGTGAAATTAGCGGAGTTTCACCACCACGTCCGCTATTCTACTTCATACACTGCCATCAGATTCAAAACCGCTATTTACCTTAATGTAAGATTTGAGGTTTTCACAGCGGAGTATGAAGATTTCTGTCGTCTGGGTTGTAGCGCCGTGTAGTCTGGTCGATGTTAACCAACGTTTCAGAGGTCATACTGCCTCCGTCATCAGGGCGATTCATCTCTGAAACGTTGGTAAACATCGACCAGACTACACAGCGCATCAACCCAGAAGACAGAAATCTTCATACCTTAACGTACTTTACTCTAATCTATTGATCACGTTAATGCAGGGTGCAAGAGTACCACAACAATTATGTATCGAATATTCAGTTCGACAACGTCTACATCACGCATTACTTCCGGCGGATTGATGCTCGGCGTCACAAGGCTGGGAAGCACACGCTATTGCCGCTAAAGAAGGTGGAGAGAGGAGCCCTAATTAATCCTTACGCTACTCTGCCTACGTCACGGGAATGCACTCAAGTGGTAAGAAACGCAAACTAAAGACAACAAAAATATAGCAATCTGTAGCTTTCTAATATTTAGAATATTGAGCGATTATGTCTCTCCGAATTTTTGTGATACAGTTTTCATACATTCAAAGTGAAGACAGTTAAAATAATTGTTGGGATATAAGTAACACAGTTTGCTTTAACTACTCTACCCAGCACCTGTTGTACTTGAAATATGTAATAAATTGTGTTTGAACGTCCATTAGATTTACCAGTCTATGAAGCTGATCCTAGAGATGGTAACAGCTACTACAATCATACTTCTAGACTACATGCTGTATGAGACACTGGATCTAGTAAGGCGACATGCCTACATAGAATATACACAAGAAGGTAAGTAAGTACATGTAAATACACCACAGCAGTAAATTTATAATTTTATTCCCAAATATTTAACACGTAATTCCGAGGCCTCCAAACTAAACTGTGTCGCCGTGTGACAAAACACACTTGAAAATATATAGCTTTAAATATTTTTTTCTTGTTACTAGTGTGGAGATCAAATTAGTGGCACATATTTCAGCAACATGGTTCTCATTCCTGAATGTTACTTGTATTTGTCATAGTGGATATAAGCGATGAATTTAGTTAACAAAGCCCCATACAGTGTAAATAATCGTAGAAGATTCCTACACTTTTGGAAAAGTGTGAATTTTTGTTGTTAGAAACATTTATAAACTTGTAAAGTACAAGTTTTTTTCTTACGTATTTACCTCCTTACTTACTTCTATAGTTATTTATTTGCTTACATATTTGTTTACTTATTTAAATAACGCTACAGTGACTAATTTGGTATTTGTTATAAACAAACCCTGAATAAAATTTTTCATTTAAGATTTCTGTCTTCTGGGTTGTTGCGCCGTGTAGTCTGGTCGATGTTCACCAAAGTTTCGGAGGTCATACTGCCTTCGTCATCAGGGCGATGAAACGTTGATTGGTTGGTTGGTTAACATCAACCAGACTACACAGCGCATCAACCCAGAAGACAGAAATCTTCATACTCACTGCTGTGAAAACCTCAAATCTTACAAAATTTCTCATTTTCAGGGTCTCATGATCTAACACTGATAGTGAGAGGAACAGGATTTATTGCCAACACGGTGAGATCTCTTCTCGGTGGATTCAACATTAGGGAAAGGGTGAAAGCCACCTACAGCAATAAAGGTAACGATCTAACCGATAATTACTCTTCTTCAGCTTTTACGGACACAGTTGAATGGCCTGTACTAATACACAATTACTTCTGAAATTATGACTCTATTTAGACATTTGGTAGGACTCCTTAGATGGGGGATTAGCACGTTGCAAAACATCTATCTACACAGGGCAGCACGACACACAGAAATGCATAACTTATCCTAGATTCAAAATAACTCACAGATAAGTGGTACAGCCATCGGTTGTGGTCTCAGAGTTCTAAGACTGTGTACTGTCTTGGCAGGTAATACATTCCTCCAAAGGTCGGCAACAACCTACAAGACCACAATCAAGGACTTCAAATCTCAGAAAATGTATATTATTATCATGTAACTAATTTAATTAGTGGAGTCGTTATGGATACTTCATACTTTGACGACCCGTTCTTCAAGTGCCTGAGCACTGCGGGTCCTAACTTTTCGTCGGCTTGATCTATAGACATTCGGTAGGACTCCTTGGACGAGTGATCGGCCCGTCGCAAGGCACAACACAGAAAAACATCCATGGCTTGAGTGGGATTCAAACCCACGGTCCCAGTGACCAAGCGGCACAAGGCCCACGCCTCGGACCGCGCGGCCACTAAGACGAACTGTCATGAATTTGAATGTAAAAACTGTTTTCTTGAAAGATTAATGAAAAGCTTGTATCTGTATATTACCCTCACCTATGAACCTTCTGAATATGAGTCTGATACTGTGTGTTGAAACAAGCAAATTTTCATTCTTAATTTAAACATTCCACATTTATCACAAATAACGAAAAGTGCAGTTTATGTGAGAAAGATAATAACTACTTATTTATTTACCACACAGCTTGCCTTCCCCAACCTACGATGCTGGGAAATTACTATTACTACAAGATTTATGGCACGTACCTCGGCATATGGTTGCTTATTCTAACAGATGCATACACCCAAAGAATTCGAAGAGCAATCTGTGCATACTTCTACCCAAAGGTAAATTAAAGTACATAACGAAATAAATTGTATAATTATCAAAGTGTGTTATATACTATAACAGGAAAGGAAATTGTAAGGAAAATAAAAATAACACAAATAGATGTATAAATATCCATAACAGTCTTCTGGGTTGTTAGGTTAGGTTGATTTATAGGTGGGCACCAACATTTTGGAGAAACATACTGCATCCATCTTCAGCCCTGAAGATGGGGTCAGTATATTACTCTGAAACATTAATACCCACCTACAAGTCAATATGACATCACAACACTGAAGACCATCACTGCCATGAGAACCTCAGATTATCACATGCAAGTACAAATACATAAAAGTAAAGTTTGTTCCACTATACGCCATGTAGGAGTTTGGGGTGAGTGGAGGTATAGCTCCTCTCTTCCTTGACCTCGGCACTAGATAGGGGTGAGTGGTCAGCGTCACGCCCCGGCCGCACTTTACCCCCTGGAAAGGAGGCTGGGTGGGCCCCAGAACCGGTCTGGACGCAGAGGAAAAATCCTCTGCCTCTGTCGGGGATTGAACCCCGGTCGCCCTGTCCGTAGCCAGTCACTATACTGACTGAGCTATCCCGGCTCAAGTACAAATACGTTCAGTGAATTATTTAGCATTCTGTTTTGCCTGTTCTGTCATTATAATAATTATCTAAGTTGTAACTGAAATAAAAGTGTTTAAAGTAACATTTATTTTACTTATCAAATAAGCAACATCATCTACTTGTAATTCCAGATGCACCATAAATCCAATAATTGAACAACTGTTCTTTACAGTAATCAGAAGTGTTACTAGAAAAACCTCTGGTACGTGAAAATGTGTAGTAATTAATGTACATTTTTTGCAGAGAGAAAAGAGAAGGGTGCTGTTCCTATACAATGAAACACTAAAACAACGCATAGGTCTCTTCAAGTTTATGAAAGCTAGAGTGAAACGTCTGGCCAGAGAACATAGACTTGAGGCGAGTACAAGTGTCATTAAACTTTGCATAAAATGAATATGGAACGCCAAGGCTGTCACCTGTTCATTGGCATATTCCATCCCCAAAAGTATTTAACAGATTTCAATCAAATTTCATGCTGAAAGTCTACACCAAATATCATCAGAACTGATGTGGTTAAAGACTACAAGTAACTGATGTCATTCCTCACATCCACTCTGATGATTAAGGAGACAAAGAATGCCTACAAAACATTCGTTTGAAACTTATCTTTCATATAACTTAGGATTTTAGTGCATTTATATCCTGTGAAAGCTTCAAATCTTACAAACTTACCTTGTTTTCACAGGTGCAAACTAATGTTCTCCTTGTGCTACGAGAGCGTTTAACAAAATGCTGCAGTTGGTTGAAATATTTTGCAGCTGCACGACACAAGTGTTTAATCTGTGGAGAACGCGAGCCAAGGAAACCTAGGACAACAGGCAATTTTGTTTCTTGCCCCAATCCCAAATGTAGTTTTGTTTATTGCTCTGAATGTTGGAAGGGTGTGGACCAAATATGTTACGCATGTACCTCTTCTGATCAGAGAAGTGATGATGATGATGATGATGATGATGTTTATGACATAAGTGAGGATAAATAAGCAACCTATGTATGACCCATGGGTCAATTGATGACATCACCATGAAGAGGAACAGATGTATAATGAATGACAAATGTACGCAACTCAAATGTGACAATATGATTTTGTATCATGTGGTGACATGATTCTATTTTCATAACAAATACTAAACAATCATTTATGACAGTCATACCTAAATAGACAACACTTTTAATAAAATCAGGAATAAAATTATGGGCATTTCTGAAGTGATGTGTCTGCGCTGAGTAACGAGTAAAACACTTTGGAGATGGCTGTCTGCTGCCTTCGTCGTCAAGGCAATGATAATGGAGGCAGCAGGTTACCCACTATAAAGACACCTAGCTTTAATTATCAACAAGAAAATTGCTTCCACCATCCATCTTATCTCACACAGGCTGTAAATATTGTAAGGATCAGATTAATTACAAATTCTTAGTGCAAGGTGATAAGCACTGCACACACACTTTTCTATTCATTTCAAAAACACTGTCTTGTTTAAAATTGTTATGCAGCTAAAACTGTATTCTAAGTATCAAACTAACTAGATGGCTTAGGGAACCCAAAGGAACATCACTGAATTAACCAAAGCCCTCAAATGGTTCCTTTCCTGGGCCAGCAAAATCCAATTACCTACAACTCCTATCTCCCATAGATCTTGCTTAATATTATCCTCCCATCTACATCTAGGTCTCCCCAGCAATCTCTTCCCTTCAGGCTTCCTGACTAATACCCAGTCCACACCTCTTGCCCCATCCATGTGCGTCACATGCCCCGCCCATCTCATTCTTCTTGACTCAATCGCCCTGACAGCGTACATGTTCGTTAAACCCGTGGCAGCAGTTGAACTGCTGCTGAACGTAGCTAAAACATATGAAACTCATATGGAATGCTATTGGCACTGACCACTTACCCCCATCTAGTGCCAAGGTTAAGAATGAGTACGAGCTAAACTCCCCCCCAAATACCTACATGGTATGTTGTGGGGCAGCTTTACTTTTACTTCACTGGAATACCGGTGAACTACTCAGGCGTGGAACAAAGTTATTGAATATGCCGGAGAAAAGGTCTAAATTTTATTAATAGGTGTACCATGTGATATGTATGGACATTATGAGGAGTTTGGATTTAAATCTGAAAAAGGATGAACTGCTCAAATTTCTGTTTATTTCTTAATTTTTTGTTTCCAAATCCACAAATCAAAGGAAAGAGGAAGAAACAGGAGAAAACTGAATGGATGAAAGGGCAGGCGCTCCCCAGCGGGACTGACAAGTGAAACGAGCAGGGGCAAAGCCTCCAGTATTTTAAAATGTGGATCAAAACAAAATATATCAACATACATTTAAATGCAAATTATATTCAGCACACATTACAAACATGTAAACGTATGTGAATACTTGCAACAATCGTCAACCGACTACACAGACAAAATGGAACAACAAACAAATCATCAAAATGCTGCTTATTTCCATATTAAGATCGCAAGAACTTTCATTATAATAGCATAAAGTATCAGAGTTGCATACTGACTTGGAATCCTTATTTGTGCATCAAAAACTGTACACTGTAAAACGTTTAAAAATAAAATGTAACACAGAAAAGACAATAAGAAATAAGAATACCTCGTGATATTTTGCAATAGGGAAGACAATAAGGGATTCTAATATAAAACAACTACATTCAAACACATATCCATATATTTTAAATACTAAAAGTTTTCTGACAGCTTAGATGCTTAGGAAACAACAATAACTTGATAAGCTTATAACTTAAAGTCTTACTTTTATGGAAAGTTGAAATAATTTAGTGTTATACAAGTGTCTTACCATATCTGCAAGGTCATTATCCAGATATTCACATAAAGACATGCACTCTTCCAGAACTGTTGCCTCCAAATATTATTTGCTGAGTTGGATGAAATACACAAATTGAACAAACTGAAGCAAGATTTTCATCCATCAACTTGTGTAAACATTCACCATTATAACCATACAAATGAATCTGAAACAAAGACAAAAATACTGAACACATCCTAAAACATGTGGCCAGAGAGCGTCTATTTACTTTACCTCTCCTAACAACTGCCAGAAGTCCAATTATGGTTACAAACTTAATTTTGCAATCATAATATGAAGTGTAACACAAATTAATGCACGTTAACCAATTAATACTAGGTGTTACAGTCAAGAGCATTTTAAGGTACTATCCCAGTGCCTGGAATGACTAAGAGAGACCATAAAGAACCTCAAGTTAGGCAGCCTACAGGCTGAGAATCAAACTTAGGAACTCCTACAAAAAGAACATGATTGATAACCACTCAGTCCTGAGGTAAATGCTCTGTCTTAATATTATATTTCAGATATTTGCTCAATTTACCCTTCTAGGGTGATCCATGCTGCCAACAACAAAAACATCATCTCGTTGCGGGTGCCAAGTTGCTTTGAATGTTGTCAACCACTGACCTGTGTGTGTATTATGCTTTATACTAGCCACCACTGAAACAAATGTAGCAGCAACATAATTCACAGAATGGAGTGACCACAAACATAAAATAATAAAAGGTATAATAGTAAAATCATACCTTCTTATAAACTTTTTGATTCCCCTTCATATTGATTAGTTCACTTCAAAACTGTTGTACTTATAACAAAAAATATTATAATAAACCAATCTTCTCAATGTTTTATCACGTGCAAACTCTTTCAGTTGCAAGATTATTATAACATCACCTTCAATGCAGTTACTGAGTGTTACTTACATACTTGTTCAAATTTAGTGAACAACTCATAAAAAAATTACTTGTTAGTACTGTTCATGTGCGTTCCTCATCACGAGAAAGCAAAAATACAATTATTGTTAAAAATATGCAATAAATCTCTTGGAAATGTGATAAATAGGCACTACAGTAACATTTCAAAATTAAATTTACCAATAAAGTAAGAGCAGGTTCAGGGAAGTGAGTGCCCTGCCTACGAGAACTCCAGGTTCCACTTGACCTGAGGGGTAGCAACCTGCAAGGGTCCCTCTACCAGGGTCACGGTAGATGGCATAGGGCAGCAGCTATGTCATTACTGGGGTGAGGCTATTGAAGAATGACTTCCCTAAAGGCCTGTCACCAGATATTCACAGGCGACAATCACATACTGATTGTACCAGTTGTGATACTGCGATGGAGAAGGAAATGGGAAACCACTTCATTATAATTCCCTAGTACAATCAAGCATGGCAGGAGGGCTGTTTCAAGTAACAGCCAGTAAAGCTCAAATTGCTATGCTGATCGCCAACATCCGGAACGAATAGGCACTTTAAGAAGAAGAAGGGTAAATAAGGGGAATACTCACAACCAACCAATTAAACAACTCAAATAAAATATAATTTTACCTTTTTTACTGTACTGGTGTGGAAGTTTGTCATTCAGAACATTTAAGAGGAAGGTGCTCAAAAGAATAAGGACCCAATAAAAGTTACAGTTAATAATTTTTACTCTTCACTGAACATTATTAGAGGGATTAAATCGGGAAGGATGGGCAGGGCATGTCGTATAGATGAGAAAGACAAAAATTACGAACAAAATTTTAGCCAGAAAACCTGAAGGAAGGAGACTCGGTAGACCATAATTTGATCTTGTGCCGAGCCATTTGAATTCAGTCCGCACCTTCACATCATGTTTTATTAACTCTACTACAATAGAAATGAACCTTTGGATTTCATAAAAGTAAGGTAATTTGTCAATCTAAACAGCTTCAATAGAAACAAGAGAAAACAGTGCTTATGGAGATCTAATATTTTATCCCATTTCTTAAAACAACTTAAGCTTTAGCACCTCTGTAATATGAAATCCAAAGATTCAGTGCTGTTAATACATAAATTCACATTAAGAAATGATACTCAACCAGTACATTCATCTTTCATAACTTAGCCAAAATGCAAGATATTTGAAAGTACCATTTGGTCGTGTCGTAAGCATGTTTGTGACATCATACACTCGCAGACGGTCATCATTGCATGTAGTGACCGCATACTTTCCAGTTGGGGAGAAAAAGGCACTTGTGAGTCCCTTGGGATGCACCAAAGTACAAACAGGTTCTGGAGATTTCTTATTGAGATATCGGCGATCCCAAATCTTCACTTCGCTGTAAAACATCACCACACAAAATTTCTTTACCTTACTAAGTGATGCTGTCACTCCCACCACAAAAATCACAAAACCATCGAGTTTGTAACACTGATGTTAGGAACTTAATGGTGAGAAAACTTCTATTACTACTACTGCATTACACTAACCACATTACTGACGAGGTTATGAAGTACTGTTGCTGGAGTGGATGAATTTGAACTGTTCTTACTGACCGTTCATGGCAAGAATACCAACCATGCACCTGATTCTTAGCCCTTGTGTCCACCAAGGCAACTCTTCCATTACCTACAAGAAAATGCATTTATGATTAATCTTCATAAATGTCAATATTGTCTACTCTAAATATTCAGGCCTTAGAAATGAACAATATTTAAATTTCTTTTATACAAAGTGTAATTCAAAGGTCAGTAGGAATGTAAGAGAAGCTCTACACATCAAATCAGTGGCATTTCACATAAATATGGGTCCATAAAAGTCTTCTTTTTGAGTTACAGTTCTCCATTACTTTCCAAAATTTCAGACAAGCATAATACTTTCGCTGCAAACAAAAAGTGACACCAGCAACAGAGGCAAGAGGAACAAAGAGACTGAAACCTCAGATAAATGTTCGAAAATACATTTCACTTTCAGTAGTATCAATAAATACTACCGGAGCTATGTATGATTTACTTTACATCCTAATTCTGCACCACTGTACTCTAAACTAAATTTCTCTAATTAGCAGCTTACAAGCAGTCCAACTTTATGTGACACGTTAGCAGAGTGCAAAACTCTTAACTACAGAGTTAAAATTCAATTGGCAGCCCTGCAACACTGTGGTTTAAATTGCCTACATCAAATCAGTTCATACCAAATAAAACGGCATATTTTGCAACAAAAATCAATGAAACGGTAGAAAAATTAAAGGAACTCAAAAAAGATTATGTAAATTATAGAGATGACATATATTTTGAAAATGTAAATATGAGATTTTACTGTAACCGTAATAATGCATGTTTTCTTCTTTTCTAACCAACAATTATAAATGCATGTACTGAAATTCACAGGTTCATCTTGTATTCAATGATTTATTCAATGGAAAACTAAAGAACACAGTAATCACATACAAATTCAACATAACACATCAATTATATACAGACCATGAGCAATCATTAAACTCCTTTCTTCTGACTGACAGTGCCATGTAGTGTGATTTCTTGACAGTTCTTCATCACTCGCATAAATCTGAAAAAAAAAACACACATATACAAGTTCCCACAAATTATTAAATATCATTTTCTACCTAGTGAGTAATTTAAGTTATATCTTCCCAATTATTTTTAGCCTATCCTAGCCCTATATTATTTCAAACATTTCTATTCACACTTGTGTTAAACACTTTCTCCTTTAGTTTGGTTACTTTTCACCTTATTTTCTTGTTTCTATATATTTAGTCCTATCTTAAAATATGTGTTCTATTTATTACTAGAAGAGACTACCAATATAATATTTAAACAACAAATTTTAAGGTTAGAGAAGAACACAACAGAGACGCCCCTAAAGAGGTATGTAAAACACAAACAAAACGTGTTGAGTTAAAGAAATTATTATAAAGTTTAACCTTTATTGTATGCGAAAAGGTAATTTAAATCCTAATTTTACAGGGCCAATGTCTCTATCCAAATGATTTCATACAATATAATTTTCTCATAATTCAATAAAAGACGTGTTACACACCAACTCACCTCATCAAACATAAGTTTATTCAGGTCCCCACATCTTACAGTTCCATCATGACTAGTGGTATAGATTTTTGTTGCATCATAAGAACAAAAACTGGTGCAGTTGACAGGCCCTACATGAGGCTGAAAAAGCTGAACACTCTCAGTTCCTCTGTCAGACAACACATCCCACAAACCTGTACAAAGTACCAATATTATATCTAATTAAAGCGTGATATTTCAAGCAATGTCCTCGTCCTCAAGGGATCACATATAGCTCTATTCTATGAAGCAAAGCACAGTATCCTGTGCTGAACTTAAATTCAAACAGGCTTAAAAAGAAGTTCAGGTTTTTATGGCTGTCGTCTAGACCAGTGGTATTCAACCCCCAGATATAATTTCTCTTCAACTTTGTACTCCCAAAGTTATACATAGTATATGATCTACATCTAAAATAAATTAAATAAATTACATTACTCATTATTCAGTGTTTATCATAAAATAATTTTTTGACGTAAATATGTCTATATTTTCAGGTCAGTGTCATTCGGCAAAAAGTGAAACGAAAAAGTGTAACTGCATTGTTATGTTACCTTGGAAATGTCAATTGTTTACTCGGCATTATTGTTACCTAGCAATCGTCAACTGTTTACTCGGCATTATTGTTGCCTAGGAAACGTCATCTGTTTACTTAGCATTGTTGTTACCTAGGATACGTCATCTGTTTATCAACAAATAAACAATGGTTACCTAGGAAACGTCATCTGTTTATCAACAAATAAACAACAATGGTTACCTAGGAAACTTCATCTGTTTATCAACAAATCAACAATAATGATTACCTAAGGAACATCTATTTACTCGGCAATTTTGTTACCTAGGAAACGTCATCTGTTTACTCAGCATTGTTGTTACCTATAAAACATTTCATTACATTTTTGTAGCTGGGCGTAATATTACGCCTGGCTTTAAACCTAATTTCTTCAGCTCATAACTTTGTAACGATTAATGCCAGCGCAATGAGGTTTGTAGTACTCTGTTGTGGAAAGTTTTCTGTGTGTGAAGATCCGGCAACCCTGTACAGAATCTTTTGGGTGACTACCTGGGAGTCTAAAAATAAACAACTGGCCTCAGTTTTACAATGGAGAATCCTTCAAGCAGTCGTGTGTTAT